CTACCTAAACTGAACATGCAGTTTCTACCTGTAGTAGGTGTTCAGAGTTTATGTACAGAAGCTGATAAGTGCAGCAGCATGCCAAGTAACACTCTGACGAACAACACATACTGGAAACTTGGTGGCTTGTACAAGTAACACATCTTGGAACTTTGTGAATCTGTTCAAATTGCATTTATACAATCCAATAGCCAGGCAATGTCATGAAGACTTCAACCCTCAATTAAATCTTTTATCCCAAATGTAATCTATTGATTGAGTTTCTTAACATTTAAGTCTTTGCTGGCTCAGTGGCACAGTGCTAATGTGAAAGACTGGATCTACATGGAAGACTGTGAATTCAGTTCTCCAGTCAATCTACTCTCTGGAGTGTGTTTCCATGATCCTGGCTGGCTGGGAGATTGGGTGGGGATAGATAGTATCATAAAGATCTGTTGAGGATATTTGTCTTTCTATCTGTCCCTCACTCTTATAAAAGGAAGAAGATAAATGTAAAATAAATAATTCTTATGGTTTTTTAAAAAAGAGTTGACCTATAAACACTCAATCTATATGTGGTGCAAATCACTTTGATTCTGGACTTCCTTGAATGCTCATGAGCCTAGAGTAATCTGAATTCTTGAAAAAATGAGTTTATTTTTTCCCCATAAGTAGAAGAGGAAGAGACACACAGAGAGAGAAAGTATCAGAGACAAAGAGACAGGCATTCTTAATAATGTCTTGACATGTTAATCTACTCCTAGCTTTGGTGAGCCCTGATCATGGGCATGTATACACATCTGGCATGTTCAGGGAGGTCTCTGGATGGGAAGCTGGAACTATCTCATACCGACAGCCTCACAGAATATTGTGTTAACACTGAACACTTGTCTGACCCCATGAAGTCTTAAATATATCTTCTGAAGCTTCTCTTTTGTGCATGGAGTATTATTGTCAAGGAAGAGATGCCAGTTTGTTAAATATAGCATCTCAACTTTCTCTTTCTCTGGTGAAGCAAAATTAGAGAACTTGGCTCATACAATTGACAGTTTTTAGGTACTGATGAAATATAAGACATATTTCATTTAAATAATAGCACCTCATCATAGGCCAAGGGCCATGGAGTTAGAGACCCTTGAATATAATTATTTTTTCCCTCCTTTCTCACTAATAAAAAGCCAGTCTTATTTTCAGACTCAGTGTATTCAGGACTGAACTGATATAGCGCCCAGGAGCATATCAGATTCTTCCAGTATCTAAGGAAGAGGCAGAAAGCTTCAAAATGTCACTGACAGCCAGGTCAGCCCCATACTTCATTGGGACCACTCCCCAAAGAAGGCACAGCTTGCTCACACCAGTCACTATCTACATGTACAATGGGGTCTGAGCCAATCAAGACCCTGGACCCTACAGGACATCAAGATAACCACACATCCATATCAGCTTTTGTCTTCCACGGTAAATCTGTAATTAACTCCTAAGTGAGTAAAGGTGTTCTGTGTGGTGAAACATTGTATGACACATAAGGAAATATGTCATACCGTCACCACTGTAATATTATAAGAATTGCAACCATTGCTTACTTCTTCTTAGGGCCTGGACCTTTATAAAGTGAATGAGCAGACATTTCTAACCAGTCTCAGCTTGTGGTGAAGCCGGTCAGCTATGAGGATCCATTATCTTCTGTTTGGGCTGCTCTTCTTGTTCTTGATGCCTGCTCCAGGTAAGATGAACTGGAAAACAAGAGGGTTGAAAGTACTGAGGATATAATTCACAGTCCCTTTATGTTCTTTGAGAATCTCTAGACAAAGTAGATTTGTTATACGAGAACTAGGCATCACCTTTTTTTTTTTTTAAGACAAGAATCATCTAGAACTATAAAGCAGGTTTCCTGATCATTTTTGATCTACTCTTGAGATGCTAAATAGCTCACAAAAGCTCTCTCTCTTTATCTACCTCTTTATGGGTAGGCTGCTTTTACCTGTTAATAAGACTTAAAGGATGTGATTAAAAAAATTTAATTTGGGGACGAGCAGTTGGCATAATGGCTACGTTGCTGGACTCCCATGTAGACCATGGTTTGAGTCCTGGACCCGGTGGCTTAAACTCACTCTGGGCGCGTGTGCGTGCATGCCCAAGATCGTGAGAAGAGAATGGAGGAGAAGGGATTGTGGCGTGGCCATCCCCCCTGGGGGGCTGATTTCTCGCTTTCTGTCTCTCTGTCTCTCTCTGTCTTTCTGGCGAGCGCACGTTCCCTATAGCAAAAACCCCTCTCAATTTTTTTTTTTTTTTTATTTTCAGCAGTAGATGGTGGTATAGTGGTAAATGTGATGCTGAAAGATTGATTTAGTCTAAGGACAGAAGCACAGACCTCCATTTTCCTAAGCTTAGTGGTTGGAGGTTAAGTCTTTTGGTCACTTGAGAAGTCAGAGAACCACTGGGGCTCCCAGCCCCTCCACATGATCTTTACAGAGAGTTTGGTGGTCATAACACTTCCTTCAGGCAATTGTGGGTTTGAATTTGGCTATAGCTCATAAAAACATTGTGTATTGATTGTTCAGTTCTACCTTTACTTTTCTTTTGATTTTATAGAAAAAGAAACAGAGTAAAAGAAAGGCAACAGATGAGTTATTTGAGGATTTCTAAAGCCTTGTACTTGCACCAAAAGCTTTCCTAAAACTTTCCCATATGTTCCATTTTTTCATTGCAGGTAATGGAGTAATCATAAAAACAATACAAAAAATGTATTGCAAAATAAGAGGTGGCCGGTGTGCTATGATCAGCTGCCTTCCAAAGGAGGAACACATAGGCTTCTGTTCAAGTAGAAAATGCTGCCGAAAAAAGAAGTAAAAGTCCAAGGTCAGGTGGTGGTGCTATGGTATCGTCACTGGACCCACCTGTGAAGGGTCCCGGGTTGACATCCCAGGAGTCCTCTGAGCACGCACATGTACAGACAATCTGAGCTGGCTGAGCTGAGGGTAAATGAAGGCATGAGGACTCTGTCTGAAGTGCTTGCCCTTCTTTCTCTCATGGAAGAAATGACAACATAATCTTAAAAAAACGAAAGTCAGAAATACGATAAAAATGTTGTAAACTGGGGAAATGTGCCCATAAAACTTGTAAAAGTAAAATGAAATCTCTTTTTTAAAAATTAGAAACTTTATTTTTCTTTTAAATTCTGTTTACTGTGGTAGTTATTAAATAAGCAACTAAGTAAGTCTTACTGTCTCATGTTTTCAAATAAAGTAGAATTTCTCTATAAAGTTTTCAGCCATAGTTAGAAGTAAGCAATGACTAAAATTCTTGTAGTATTTCAGTGGTAACAATACAACGGATTTCCTGATGTGTCACACAGTGTTTCACCACACAGGACACCTAGTTAATCAGAGACCTCATGGGTAAAGTAAAACTTGATGTGGATGTGTGTCTATCCTGAAGTTCTCTAGGCTCCAGGGCCTGTCCCTCTCTGGCTCAGATGGATTTATGTACGGATAGGTCTGGTGTGGGCAATTTGTGCCCTTTTTGGGGAGCCGAGAACTTATTTTCCAGGTTGTATTCCTCTTTTGTTAACTTTATACACCAGTGAAATTAGACTCACTATTCTCTGGAAATACTCTTTTTTCAAAAAAAAAGAATTATTTTATTTTACTTTATTTATTATTTTTTAATTTGGAGAGAGAGAGAGGGAGAGAGAGAGAGAGAGAGAGAGAGAGAGGAGAAAGTGAGAAAGCAAGCCTCCAGGTCTGGGACTCTCAGTTGGCCATGTGGAAGTCCTGTGCCCTTAGCCACCAAACTGCCTGCTGGCCCTCACTTTACTTTTTTTGTCACCCATGTCCTTAAGTATTTAGGTCTTCTATCTGGAATTACATGTCTCCACCAAATTATCTCAAAAACTTTAATACATCCCCAGGAGCCATCCCAAATTCTACTGAATATGTTATTCCTCATTAAAATGGAGAATCTGAATTTCCTAAAATATTTCTTTTGCTTTCTTATCACTTTTGCTTCTTCTCTGGTTGACCTCACTTCCCCCAATTTCATCTCTAAACTTTTGTTTATCCCTTGGAAATATCTCAAATTTTACTAACTTTTTGAAAACGGAGAATATTTTCCAAATACCATAGCCCTCCCTCAGTTTTGCGATAGGGTTCTGCCTTGAATCCTCCATCTACAAATCTTGATTGGTTTTTGCTTTGGAAACATTTGCATTCTGCCCATCTCTCTATTTGGGTGCAGGATCCATAAAAGCAAGGACTTTGTTGCAGTCCTTTCTGGACTGTGTAAAGTGTCCTGAGTATGAAAGTTACTCATTAAGAGTTCATTGAAGAAAATTGAAATGATTTCAAAGTGGAGTAGCTCTGGAGAGCCTGAGGCAGCTGGCTGCTGGATCAGGGCAGCTGGAAATCCTTCCACCCATCTTTCCCTGAACCCCAGAGTTGAACCTCACCAACTCGGCACCAGGTACACTTGGTCTGGAGAGAAAAGGGTGGGAACCAACACCTAAAGCTGACTTCATACCACCTTCTCTCATTGGAAGACAAGGCCCTCTCCCAGGAATACACCTGAGAAGTAGAGTTCCTCTTCCCCTCTGACACACACAATCACACGAAAATTGTATGAAGAAGCATACAAGGTGGTCTGTCATCCTTGAAACATCCCCCAATCAAGGCCTGAAGGAAAGAGACATGACAACTAGGTTCTCAGAAAGAGGAGTAAAAATACTCAAAAACATGAGCCCCGTCCTCACATTCTATCTATCTAACTGCCCTGGGAATTGTGCTCTGATGGTGCACAATGAGGGAGCCAGTCAATAGGTATAAAGAGCTATTTTCAGACATTAGTGAAGAAACGGTGCAGGACAGAGATTGCAGACTGATGGGAAACAAGTGAAGTGAGACTTAAGAGTTGCCCATAGCTTACTATAGGAACAGGCTTCAGGTCATAGTACAGGAAGGAAGACCCAGACAGAGAAAAGTGATCCTGCAGCTTTGAGGAGACTGAGATCAAAGTTCAGACAGGGGAAGGGACTCCCATTTACAGGATAGAATACCACAGAGGGAGCGTCTGAAATGAGATGGAAACCCCTGAGTGCTAAAAGAGAAGGAGAAATCATTCAGTCTTGGGCCAAGTACTCACCTGAGTGTGTGTGCTTGGGATAAAACTATACAAGGCTGGGGGCGGGTCTGGGGAGGAACACCCAAAAGGGATTACGGATAATTTCAGGGTCACACCCACAGCTGGAAAAATCTGCATTCCTATCACAAAGTGGAGAGACCAGAGTTTTCAGGGAGGTATCCCAGTTCTGTTTAGCACTAGATTAAACTGTTTTGCAGTTTTTCTAATAATTTTTATAAAACTGTTCTCGAAAGGACCAAATTGATGTATTAGAAGCTTATAAGTGAGCCAGAATAAGTCAAACATTACTTAAAGGGAGACAACAAAGTCCATACAGAAAAATTGAATCTTTTTTTTTTTTTTTGAGAAGTTTTTGCTATAGGGTGCATGCGCTCGCCAGACAGACAGAGAGATAGAAAAAAAGAAGTCACCCCCCAGGGGCGATGGCCATGCCACAATCCCTTCTCCTCCATTCTCCTCTTGGGATCTTGGGCACACACGCACACACGCCCGGTGTGAGTTTAAGCCACCAGGTCTGGGACGCAAACCGCAGTCGACTACGTGGGAGTCCAGCAACATAACCATTATGCTAACTGCTGATCCCTGAAAAATTGAATCTTTATAATATGTTAAATCCAATTTAAATAAGTACCTGGCATGCAAAATAGCAAAAAAAATATGATCCAAAGTCAGGAGAAAATGATATAGTGAAAATGGACCTACAGATCACAAAATTACTAGGATCAGTCAAAGGGAAGTAAAAGCACTATTACAAATTTTATAAATGTGTACAACTTTCAAAAGGAAAGCTACTCATGGTGAAGGTAAAAAATGAAAATTATAAATAACCAAATTGGACACCAAGAAATGGGGCCAGCAGGTGGTGTGGAGGTTAAGGTGGCTGGATACTCAAAGGCCAACTTTGTAGTTTGATCCTAGATCCAGTGGCTTGAAAATTCTACTGGACATGTGTGCATATGTGCCTAAAATTCTGAGAGGAGAACGAAGGAGAAAGGTTTGCAGCATGGCCATTCTCCCTGGGGGATGCTTTCTCACTTTCACTCTCTTTCTGTTTCTCTCTGGTGAGCATATGCATCCTATAGCAACCTAAAAAGAAAAAAAAAAAAGAATTTCAATAAAGAAAAATTATTATTTAAACAAAAAATGTTCCGTGTGAAATTAATGGTATTTGACATTACAGAAAAAAGATTACAAACAAATGAATAAATGAAGCAAAGAGAAGAAAATATTTAAAACAACTGAAAAATGTCAGTCATAGTATACATCAGTCTAAAATCTACTTAATTTGTAGTTGACTAACCAATATAGCCAAATATATTAATTTGAGAAAAATATTTCCATATTATATTCGTTTCTGCTTTGTCCTACACACTTTTTGTTCATATTATGTATGTATGTATAGTGGGTTATCAGTATTTTATGTAACTGGAAACCAAAGCAGGGCTGGAGTTGTGATGCTGATCTCTTTGAGATCTACAAATAGATCTACCATATGGTCCAGCAATCCCATTCTTAGGTATCTAACCAAAGGACAGGAGAACGCTCAGTCAGAAAAGCACTTGCACATCTATGTTTATTGTGGTATTATTCACAATGGCTAAGACATGGAACCAACCCAAATGTCCACAAACAGATGAATGGATTGGAAAAGTGTGGCATGTATACTCTATGGAATATTATTCAGCCATAAAAAATAGCAAGATCCTCGTATTTGATAGAAAGTGGACAAATATGGAAGATTTACCGCTGAGTGAAGCAGCCAGACTAGGAAAGAGAGACATTATATGTCTCCACTTAACATATACTGAATATCTTCACTCCTTGGTGGAAACTGAAAGACTAGAGGGTATAGAAGCATAGAAAATGGGTAGGGATACTGAAGACAAGTGTGGGAAGAGAGTGGGTAAAGCAGAGAGTATGAGGAAAGAAATTAAAAAGAAAAATAGAGAGGTAAGACACTTATGGGACACAGAAGTGGATTATTATCTATTGATGATAATGTGTATAGTATCCTGAACCGGACTTGCATGAAGTGTATTCATGTTGGGTAAATCCACTTTACAAGCTAAGTGATGTATACTGATTGAAGATATAAAATAAATTCAAATTAAAGTAAAGTAAATTAAAATACTTAAAAAGAAGAAAAAGAAAAGGAAATAAAAAGCAGAGATCTCTGACCTTTCTAGCTTTTTTAGGTCTGGAAAGACAGGGGCATCTGATGGTGGCTTCTCAAGACATAGAAAGACTGCAAAGTCAACAGCTATTCTACTACCCACATTCACCTCCTTCTTCCACTTAAACTATCTCTAATTGTTTTGTCCCAAATGCTACATTTAAAAGGAACATTAGGTTTTTAAAAAGTTTCTATAAGGGCCAGAAGGTGGTGTGATGGATCCAGCCTCACCTAAGCTGCACATTAGCACTGAGTTGGATTGTCACTTGGCTGACCATTCTTTGAATAGACACCCAGTGGCTTGAAAAATCATGACCAGGCAAATGTATATTCATGCTCAAAACTCCAAGGGGAGATTAAAGGAGAAGGGATTGTGTCATGGACATCCTCCAGGGGGATGATTTTTCACTTTCCTTCTCACTATCCATCTCTGTCTATTTAGTGAGCACACATGCCACATGGTAAAAACCTTAAAAACGAGAAGTGTCCACGATTTCGAAATTTCTTAAATCTGTGGATCACAATGCATCTATGAATGACCTTTCTTCTACATTTCCACCACCATTTGTCTGGACTCTTATCATGCCACTTTAAGAATCCTTCCTATATACATTTGACTACATGGCCATCTGTCTTAACTTCCATGGAGTTCCTTGACAGAAAGAACCAGCACTACTTTCACTGTGTATCCCAGTCCCATTTACCCTTCCCCCACTTAAACTGAACATATGGTTTCTACCTGTAGTAAGTATTCAGGGTTTATGTACAGATGCTGAGAGGCACACCA